TCTCAGTGAAGCCATCAGCCATGGTATACAGAGTCACTCAAGATGGATGGGTCATAATGAAGAGTGCTGACAAAAAATAGTCCACCAGGGAATGAAATGGCTACCAACTTCAGTATTCTTGTCTGGAGAACACCATAAACAGTAAGAAAAGGCAAAAAGATATGAGACTGCAGAGATGAGCCCCCCAGGTCAGAAGGCATTCAGTATGGTAAACTGGAGAAGAGTGGAGGGCAACTACTAACAGCTCCAGAGAGAAAGAAGTGGCTGGGCCAAAGCAGAAATGATGCTCAGATGTGAATGTCTCTGGTGGTGAAAGTTAAGTCCCATGCAGTAAAGAACAGTATTGCATAGGAACCTGAAATGTTAGGATCATGAATCAAGGTAAATTGGATGTGGTCAAGCAGAAGTTGGCAAGAGTGAACATCGACATTTTAGGAATCAGTGAACTAAAATGGACTGGAATGGGTGAATTTAATACAGATGACCATTATATCTACAACTATGAGCAAGAATCCCTTAGAAGAAATGGAGTAGGCCTTGTAGTCAACAAAAGAATCCAAAATGCAGCACTTGGGTGCAGTCTCATAAATGGCAGAATGATCTCTGTTCATTTCCAAGGCAAACCATTCAATATCACAGTAATCCTAGTCTATGCCCCAAACACTACTGCCAAAGATGCTGAAGTTGACTGGTTTTATGAAGACCTACAAGACCTCTTAGAACTAACACTAAAAAAAAAAAAAAAAGAAAAGAAAAGGAAAAGATGTCCTTTTCATCATAAAGGATTGGAATGCAAAAGGAAGAAGTCGAGAGGTACCCAGAATAATAGGCAAGTTTGGCCTTGTAGTACAACATGAAGCAGGGCCAAGACTAACAGGATTTTGTCAAGAGAACATGCTGGTCATAGAAAACACCTTCTAAGAACAACACAAGACATGAGTCTATCCATGGAGATCACCAGATGGTCAATACGAAAATCAGATTGATTATATTCTTTGCAGCCGAAGACGGAGAAGCTCTACATAGTCAGCAAAAACAAGACTGGGAGCTGACTGTGGCTCAGATCATGAGTTCCTATTGCACAATTCAGGCTTAAATTGAAGAAAGTAGATAAAACCACTAGAACATTCAGATATGACCTACAATCAAATCCCTTACAATTATACAGTGGGAGTGACAAACAGATTTAAGGGATTAGATCTCATAAACAGAGTGCCACCCAAAGATTCACATCAGAAAGAAGGGGCAACATGATTGAAAAATATCTGTAACACATTACGTAGATTGTGAAAAGATATTTTTCATAGACAGATGTTTATAGATGAATGAATGAAGGGGGTCAGAGGTGGACAGAGATAGGGGTTTTAGACATGGACTTTAAATCTTTGTAATGTGTCACAAGGGAAAAGTTCCAGTCACTAGCTCACCTTGCATTTTTACTTGTCCTGGATTTTGACTTATTCCAAAACATGTTCTCTCTGTGTGTATGTGTTGCTCAGGCATGTCCGACTCTTTGTGATCCCATGGGCTGTAGCCCACCAAGCTCCCCTGTCCACGGGATTATCCAGGCAGGAATACTGGAGTCCGTTGCCATTTCCTGATGAAGACTATCTAGGAAAAGGCCCCTTTTAAATGGGGCAGAGTGTTTGTCTTTAGCAGAAAAACACAGAGGCAGAAGATGGGTGGATGCAGGTCTAAGTGCCCTCTTGTGGCCCTATGGGGCTCTGTGGTTCCTTGTGCAGAAACAGTGTGAATTTTTCATTCTAAACTACCTGCTTGCAATGCAGGAGACCCAGGTTTAATCCCTGGGTTGGGAAGATCCCCTGGAGAAGGAAATGGCAACCTACAGGAGAATTCCGTGAACAGAGGAGACTGCTGAGCTACAGTCCATGAGGTTGCAAAGAGTCGGACATGATTGACCTACTAACATACCAACTATCACTCAAGAACAAGAATGAATTAAGAATATTTTCAGATGAAAAAGACTACAAGTGTTTGCCACTCTTAGGCTTTTACTGAGAAGGAGGAAGGGCATATTTAACGAAAAAGTGAGTGAATCTCAGAAGGAAGGAGTAGAGGGTGAGAAACAGAGGCAGGAGATGGGTGGATGCAGGTCTAAGTGAGACAGTTATAGACTGTGTGAAACAACACTCATGGAGCAGAAGTATCAGTCAGCAATGACTGGTAAGCATACATTTCTGTTGTTCAGTGCTATGTCCTGGCCATCACCTGCCGTCCTTTTTACAGAAATAGAGTCTCAGCTATAGAGAACAAACTTATGGTTATGAAAGAAGGGTGAAGGAGAAATTAGGATTGGCAAATACACTCTACTATACATAAAATAGATAAACATCGACTGGAGAGCACAGGGAACACTACTCAATTCTTTGTAATAACCTACATGGGAATAGAATCTAAAAAAAGAGGATATATATATATATATATATATATATATATATATATATATATATATATATATATATTCACTTTGCTGCACAGCAGAAACTAACAGCACTGTATAGAATGATATTACAATTAAAATTTAAAATAATAAAACAATGAATCAAGACAAATAAATATAAGACCTGAAAACACAGAATTTCATCTCCCTCTCACAATTTTTATAACCACTGTTCATTGTTTGACCCTAATGCTTCCTCAGCATATACAGGATTTTAGCCAAGTTCCCTGGCTGTGGTGCGAATGGGTGGCGGGCAGGGAAGCATTCTCACAGTTTTGGGGATAGAAGATAATGTGGGCTGGCCTTGGCTGTTCTGAGCAGACCTCCCCCTGGATTGACTCCCACTGAGACCTACTGCCCACCTGAACACTGTCTCCCATGGGTCAGGGAGCTACCCAGTTCTATAGGAGCAGATGATTTTCTACACAAACACTGACATCACAAGGAAGGATCAACATGATTGAAAAATATCTCTGATAATGTTACATAGATTTTCCAAAGGAGTTTCAGAAAGATAGTTACCTATAGATGGATGAGGGGGAGAGAAGAAGAAACAAAGGGGCTGGCACACAATTTTATCCATCAGAATCCTGCTGGTACAGTGGAAAGAACCCACCTGCCAATGCCGTAAACACATGAAATACAGTTTCCGTCCCTGGGTCGAGAAGATGCCTCTGGATTAGGAAATGGCAACCTACTTCAGTATTCTTGCCAGAAAAATCCCATGGACAGAGGGGCCTGGTCTATAGTCCATGGGATCACAAAGAGTTGGACTTGACTGAGTGACTGAGCACACATATGTGTCACAAGGGACAACCTTCAAACAGTGCCTCACCTTACATGTGTTACTTGTAACGGCTTTTCACTAGTTTCCAAATGAAACTGGAGATGGAAAACATGTCAATATATTTTAAAGAGATTCTCTTAAGTTTATCAAACATGTTCTGAATAAGTTTAAGTTGAAAAGGACTCTTTTGAATGGGGCAGTAAGTCAGTTCAGTGGCTCAGTCATGTCTGACTCTTTGCAACCCCATGGCCTGCAGCACAGAAGGCTTCCCTGTCCATCACCAACACCAGGATGTTATGCAAACTCATGTGCATTGTGTCGGGGATGCCATCCAGCCATCTCATCCTTTCTCGTCCCTTTCTCCTCCTACCTTCAATCTTCCCTAGCATCGGGGTCTTTTCCAATAAGTTGTTTCTTCCCATCAGGTGGCCAATGTATTGGAGTTTCCACTTCAGCGTCAGTCCTCTCAATGAACATTCAGGACTGATTTCCTTTAGGATTGACTATTTGGATCTCCTTGCATTGTTTGCCATAAGCAAGTACACTCTGCCCTCTGGCGGCCCTCTGAGAAATAGCAGGAGCACTGCAGGGCTCCATGGGTCTGTAGGCCAAAGAGGCCAACAATCAGTTGCCACCTTCACAGTCTTGCTATGAGAGTAAACCAAATTCTGCAAGTCTCAATGTTTGTGGGGTGACGTCTAGTGGAAATCATTGTCTTGACTATGACACAATACATCACTTTCCAATTGCAGAATTTCAGAGAGTGACGGTTGAGCCCTTGAGTTAGGCCCTGGGACTACAACAGAGAATAGAGAAGAGGTAGGTACCTCTTGGGACCTGCAGGGAAAGGGTGGGAGCCTGCTGGGTGGGATCACTTGCCTGTACCCCAGCTCCGTGTGTTTTGTGTGGAGATTAGTCTATCTAACCAAAGAACTTTCATAGCTTTCTTCTGATTATGTTAACAAAATATTTTAGAAATTTGGGAAACTATCATTCAAAGTAGTCTGCATAATTTCACCTACAATTACATAGCATTTTAAAAAATGGGATTACCTGATATTATTGGTGACCTTTTCACTTCATATGAGCAATTATTGTATCCATTTATAAGTTTAAAAGATGTGAATTTAATAGTTGCAAATATTCCTTATGATACCTTGTATCACAGGACCTGTTTCTACAGCTCCTGATGGCAGCTTCCTCTGAACATATCTTGTTCATCTCTGAAAGTGGAGTCCAGAACCTATCAGCTCCAGGCAACGTCCAAATCTCTTTTCATCCCTTGAATTTTCAAAGCAGATTCTCTTTTATCCTTTCTTCTAGGACAGCAGGCACTTCATACCATGTCCCCTCTCCTTTAAGAGCCCCTGCCAGACCAAGACACTGCTCAATCAATTCTCAGTCTGCTCTGTGCACAGTGCAGATTGTATGGTAAATATTCAATAGAGATTTGAAACACAGTAGGTCTAAATGAGTTACTTGTTATTGCTGATGTCATCCTAAAATTATAAATAATTTCCAGAAAACAATCAGTGTTACCTGAAGCAAAAGGACAGGGTACTGTCCGCAAGGTTTGCAAGCTGGGGAGACACAATTCTTGCCTGTAACTGAAAGCACATTGCCGGGGCTGAAGGGAAGGAAGAACTTTTAAAAAGCAAAAGCCCCAGAATGCTCAGCTGGGAGACTTGTAAGAGGGTTAAATGACCCTGTGCAGCCTAAGCACAAATCCTTGCAGCTGGACCACAGTCTGCCATGACTGGTGGTCCACGGAACTTCTCCTTCAGAGTGCTCACAGGTAGGACCCTTAGCAGAATCAGAACTCTTCAGAGCTTTTGTTTGTGCTTTTATAAGAACTCAGAGTACATTACTTAATCTCAGTTCTGTTATGAACACATGACTCTGTTTTATTTGGGGTCTCTGTTATCTAGAGTGGGCCCATTTTCTATGCTCTCTTAAGGAATTTCTCTCATTTTTACTTTTCCTTGGGGGTAACTATTTTACTTTTACATGGACAAAGTTGATTTTCCATGAAAATTCACTGCCCTTCCTGGGGCACACCAATGGAAGACTTCCCAGCTTCTTCTGTGGCCACAGGACCACATCATGTCCAGTGAAGTAGGAGAGAAACTGATGTTGCATCCTGGCCTATTATAACCTGCCACAGGCATTTCTCCAAGTTGCTGCCCCTTCTGCTGATGGACACAGATGGGGATGAGATCCTGGGATGGAGGAGGCCGAGGACAGGGGAAGCCTGGGTTCCTGAGTGACCAGAGGAGGACGTGCAGTCTCCCCAGGGTGAGCGCCCACTCAGCGCTCTCATGGGGGAAACAGAGTGATGTGCTTCTGAAATTTTAAGTGATTTCATAATTCAGCATAAACTATTATACCCACAAAAATATTAATCATAGGATGAACTTAAATAGCCATCAATCTAGTACATTTAAATTACAGAAGTAAATTGTGTACCATTGATAGTTTTAACATCCAGTTTAACCTTGTTAATTCTGACTCAGTCATTTGAACTCAGAAAACTTCAATTCCTCAACATTTTAAATTCTGAACTTAATAAAAACTGCAATAAGAATTATAATAATATTTGAAATACAGTGTAGAGAATGTATTTTCAAGAGAAAACGTCAATAGATTTTAATTCCTTGATCTTGATTTGAAAACACAGCACAGCAAACTATTTGTGGTTTATCCATATTTATTTCTAATTGAAAATATTTTAGTTGGGATTCATTTAAAAAAATAAATGACAGGTTTGTTAACCACATCACAGCTGAATGACTATAAATATCCTTTTTTGGGAGATTCTTTAGTGATCAGTACTTGTATGTGGTTGACTGACTTGGGTCAAATATCAGCTATCAGAAAATTCAAAATATTCTTTTCCTTTCATCAATTTTCAGTCAATAATACATTTGATCTCATGGAGTTTTATATGGTGTGGAATACTTCAACTACTAATGATTTCCCTAATGTTGCAAGAGGCCTTAAGATCAAAATTCTGGCATCCAGTCTATTTCTTTGAAGAGAGTGATTCAGTTTTGGTCCAGCTTTCGGAACATTTGCCCCCCAAGGCTCCACCACCCTCCCTTTCTGCCTAATTCAATAGAGAAGAAGATGTTCTCAGAGCTACTTACAAGGTTCAGGGAGATGAAAGCTACACAATGGATCTCGTCACTTGCCTAGGAATTGAAAGGATATTTCCCATTCAAATATGCTGGTAAGTAACCACACTTCTAATTTCTCTGGGAGTCAAGAAATATCAAGGAAAGGAAGTCTGTGGTTGGTAAATGAACAAATGGCCAATCCATCTGAGAATCACTCCACCTCCTCCCCTTCCTCTGGGTGTTTGGTGTATGGAAAGAGCCCCTGGTCATCACCAGGTGGTTTTCCTTCTTTTTCCCTTAGAAGAGAAACTCAGTTTTATTGTGGACACCAAGGCACCGAACTTAGTACTCGAATTTCTCTTGTGTACCTGTTGTCCATCTTTGAAATGTCAACCATTATCTTCAACAGTGAAACAACATACTTCCTAATTATCAGAGTCAGAACTGCAATGTTTTAAAAAGTCATTCCTAACTGTTTCAAGGGAAAAATTTGCTAACTCAAGAAACAATTTTGATAGAGAAAGACAACCTATCTCTGTGCTACAAAGCATAGTATTTTGCACCAATCACTAGTTTTAATTAGATTGTTTTGAAGCCTCCTAAGTAGGTACCTCTTTCACTTTCATCGAGAGGCTTTTTAGTTCCTCTTCACTTTCTGCCATAACGGTGGTGTCATCTGCATATCTGAGGTTATTGATATTTCTCCTGGCAATCTTGATTTCAGCTTGTGCTTCTTCCAGCCCAGCATTTCTCATGATATACTCTGTATACAAGTTAAATAAGCACAGTGACAATATACAGCCTTGAACTGTATATTGTTCAAGAACTCCTTTTCCTATTTGGAACCAATCTGTTGTTCCATGTCCAGTTCGAATTGTTGCTTCCTTACCTGCATACAAGTTTCTCAAGAGGCAGGTCAAGTGGTCTGGTATTTGATGAAAGTGAAAGAGGAGAGTGAAAACGTGGGCTTAAAGCTCAACATTCAGAAAACTAAATCATGGCATCTGGTCCCATCATTTCATGGGAAATACATGTGGAAACAGTGTCAGACTTCATTTTTGGGGACTCCAAAATCACTGCAGATGGTGATTTCAGCCATGAAATTAAAAGACGCTTACTGCTTGGAAGGAAAGTTATGACCAATCTAGGTAGCATATTAAAAAGCACAGACATTACTATGCCAACAAAGGTACATCTAATCAAGGCTATGGTTTTTCCAGTGGCCATGTATGAATGTGAGAGCAGGACTGTGAAGAAAGCTGAGTGCTGAAAAGTTGATGCTTTTAAACTGTGGTGTTGGAGAAGACTTTTGAGAGTCCTTTGGACTGCAAGGAGATCCAACCAGTCCATCCTTAGGAGATCAGTCCTGGGTGTTTGTTGGAAGGACTGGTGCTGAAGCTGAAACTCCAATACTTTGGCTACCTCATGCAAAGAGTTAACTCATTGGAAAAGATCCTGATGCTGGGAGGGATTGGGGCAGGAGGAAAAGGGCACGACAGAGGACAAGATGGCTGGATGGCATCATCACTCTATGGAATGAGTTTGATGGAATGAGAGGAGTTGGTGATGGACAGGGAGGCCTGGCCTGCTGCGAGTCATGAGGTCACAAAGAGTCGGACATGACTGAGTGACTGAACTGAAGTAATCTGAAGTAGGTACCAACAAACAGCACATTAAAAACCACAGAACAAAACCCAAACTATTCTCAAACAAAATATACATTTTCTGGAAAAATCTGAGAATTCCCCTGGGTTAGATATTCAAAATTGCAAAAGGGTGCACCACAATTTCATGAAATGAACATTTCTCTGGATTCCAAAGTCTTCTCTTCAAGCAAAATTTACCAAACAACAACTGAGCTCTTTGTAGATGCTAGAATTTGAAAATACTTTAACATCTATGATTATTGTGCAGAAATAAAAATTTTAAATCCTCCTTTAACTTAGAGTAATGCCACTTCTCAATGGTCTGTTCCTGGAAAATATGAACAGAAACAAATCAAGCTGTTCAAAAAGCCCTCCATACGCAAAAACATTAAAAGGCGGGGACTACTTTACTTGAAACTTTGCTTAGGTGTTAGTATGTCACGAATTACCCTCCTGGAAGCACTCGGTGAGTTAGTCACAGTCAGTCAATAAAGCCCAAAAACACTGAACGTGAAAGTGAACTTTAACCTTTTGTACCTGGTCCTCCAGAAGGCTTTAGGAAAGAGCAGGGAGTCCCATCTGAACACCCGCTGCTGGCGGCCAGCGAAAAGGGTCCCCGATCTGTGTGCCCCCACCACCCACGGGCATACCGGGAGCAGAGACCCCTTCACATCTGCGGACCCACTGCTCCCAACGCACACCCCGCTGCCCCACCTTCGGGCTCCTCGGCTGCAACTCCTCATCCCGCATGCGCGAGCCCACAGGGACCGGGTCCACGCGGCGCCCACAGACCCAGAGGCCGCCCCCCATGGTCGAGGGGTGCTGGCAGGGAGGGCTGCGAGTGTGCGTGGGGCCCACCACTCCACGACCGCCTTGGGGCCCCGGCCCAGCGTCCTTACCCTGCGGCCGGTGGCAGCGACCGCGGAGCCGAGGACAGAGCAAGGCTCACTCTCCTCGAGGCTGGAAGAGTCGGGGGCCGCTGGCCATTGGGCAGGCTGGGGCACGCGGTGAGGGGCTGCGGATAGAGCTGCACTTACTCATGTCTGTGTTGCTCCGCGGTCCGGGGCGTTTCGCAGTGGGGACCGACCCAGTCTCCAACTTCCCTTCCCTTGGGACTGGTCCTGGGAGCTCAGGCGTCCCTGTGCCTCCACCTTCGCACCTGTGGCCACTCACGCCTGCACACTCCCACCTACGGCTGCTCACGCCTGCACACTCGCACCTGCAGCCACTCACGCCTGCGCCCTTGTTCCAGGGCCAGTGGGGGCGGGAGGGGCGTTTGTCAGCCTCAGGACTCCTGGCTGGAATATCCTTATTTTACATTTCCTTAAAGTTTTTGACTTGATATCAGTTTTTTTTTTAAATAAATGTCAAATTTTCTTATCCTAATCATAATTTCATGACTATAGATTCTGTCTTTGTAAGATTTCTTTAAGAATAATAATTTCTACTTGGTCAACTGAGTCAGATAATAGGTACCAAAATTATATATTGCTTCGATAAATTTTCAGTCAATACGTTTTAGCCTGTGAAGTTTTATTTAGTGTGTGTGTGTGTGTGTGTGTGTGTGTGTGTGTGTGTGTGTGTGTGTTTTACTACTAATCAGCCTTGGCAGGGGCAGAGTCTTGAGATGAAGGGAGAGTTAGGATCTCCTAGGCTAGAGCTGTCTCCCTGACACATATTTTGCCATAGGATTAGAGATTCTAAGACCGCAGGATGTTTTGGAATGTGGGGTAGGTTCTCTGGGTGTGCGCACAAGCATGCACTGACACACATCAGAGGAAGGGGCCACAGGGAGTGGGGTCAGGGGAGGGGTGGACCTTGGGGTGGCAACAGCGAGAGAAACGTGCATCATTTTTCCTTGTACTAAGGCAAAGACCACCTTGTTGGACCTCATATGGAGTCAAGGTCAGAACATCTGCACTGGCTGTGGTGAGGAGTCCTCAGAAGGGAATTAGACACCCCACGGCTGAGGGCGACAAGAGGAGGTGGAGGGTCCTCTTCAAGGTCCCTCTCAAAGCCCCTGGCTCCTGTGGATCCTGTCACATCCCCTCCTGGGGCCCAAGGAATGCTGGTGACCTCAAGTCTCTCAGAGGTGTGGTTTGTGCTGTGATTCCCCTGCTTGGTGTGTAGTATGAGTGGTTCCCATCAAAGGGGTGAAGTGTCCAGTACTGGGGCGAGGAGAGTGTCCCTTGCACTCCTACACATTCCCCTGCCCCTGACCTGGCCTATACCTCCTCCTATTAACATCCGAGCTTCTCAGTGGAGGAATGGAACCTCTTATCTATTCAATTACCAGCTGTGCCGTGAGCATTCAGTGAGAGCTGTGATGTAACGAAGCACCAGGTTTACAGTCTGGAAGGGGAAGTGGACAAAAACAGAAGGAAACAAGTTTTATGTTGAAAAACAATAGGTGCCACAATGTGGTCGAGAGGGGCTGCACTGAGGGGACATATCTGTCCCCAGCAGGGTAATGAGAAGGTGCCAGCCATTCACATATCTGGGGATAATTATCCTAGAAGAAGGCACAAGTGTATGAACACTCAGAATGTGTTTGTCCAGAGATGAAGCCAGAGGAAGCTAGTGTGGCTGGTGGGAGCTTGGGAGGACAGTAGGGGACAGTGGTGAGGGAGGGGCCAGGGACTGAATGCTTGATGGCTGTGTGAGTGATCCATTCTGTGTGACAACATTAGCCAATCTTGAGTGACTTAAGCAACAAACATTTATTATCTCACACTATCTGTGGACCAGGAATTGACCATAATTCACCTGGAGGCCTCTGCCAGTGTCTCCCTGGGGTCTAGGACTGTGAACTCATTGAGTCAGGACCCAAGAGCTCCTCTGTCATGGTCTCAATGCAAAACCACAGATGCCTCTTCATATGGCAACTTGTAATATACAGGCTTGTTCCTTAGAGTGAGGGACCAGAAAGAGAGAAGAAAGGAGAGAGAGGAAACTGCAATACAAATGAAGAAGTGGAAATTATACACCTAAATCCTGGGGATTTTCAAATGGTACTGCTGCTGCTGCTGCTATGTCGCATCAGTCCTGTCTGACTCTGTGCGACCCCATAGATAGGAGCCCGGCAGGCTCCCCCGTCCCTGTGATTCTCTAGGGAGGAACACTGGGATGGGTTGCCATTTCCTTCTCCAATGCATGAAAGTGAAAAGTGAAAGTGAAGTCGCTCAGTCGTGTCTGACTCTCAGCCACCCCATGGACTGCAGCCGACCAGGCTCCTCCATCCACGGGATTTTCCAGGCAAGAGTACTGGAGTGGGTCACCAGTGCCTTCTCTGTCAAATGGTTACAACCACTGTATATAACACTTCAGCACTTTCTCAAAAGGACAAGCTTACAGTTTTCAGTCAATCCCCAAATTCCCCTCCTACATCAATACCCAAAAGCATGTGAATACACATATTCACATGCCTGTACACAATTATTCAGAGCACCACTGTTCAGAAGAGCCCAAAGGTGAAAATTCTAATGTCCATCAACAGATGAAAGCCAAATGTGCTGGTTCCTGAATGGAATATTATTTAGCAATGAAAATGTTCTCAAATAGACATTTAATAGGGCTATGTAACATTGTGAATGAACTTATTGTAATTTACATGTACAATCTAAGATAATCAAACTATTAAATTTTAAGTGAACTTTATATCATAAACAATGTAGTATACATTAAAAAAAATACTTAAAATGGACTTGCTCTAACTCTGGAGCTCTGGTGGGCAATAGAGGTGTAGTTAGTTCCAGGTCTGGAGATGTTTCCAGAGCTTGTTCTGGAGTTGCTGCTGTAGTTCCAAGGAGAGAAAACATCAATAGGACTGCTTTTCCAAGTGTCTCCCAAAAACAGAAAAGAAAGCTTCTCACTGCCACTCAATGATCTCTCAAAGATGCCAGCCCCAGAAAGTCTTCCCAGACTGCAGTCCAGGGCAATAGTGATCTGAGCTTCCTCATTGCTCCTGGCCCAGATCCAGCCTCAGAAGGTTCTGCTCTGTGTGGTTCAGCTCCCTCCCATCCTCATTTGCTCCCATCACATCCCTCTCTGCCTCAGTAGACTCCAGGGTCTCCAGCTGTGCCAGGAGATGTAGGGTTCGGTGCTCCAGGTCTGAGTCAGGCATGCTGAGCTCTATTTAAGCCAGTAGCATCCTCAGGCAGGGAAAGTCTGGGGGCTGGTGGAAACCCTCAGGTTAATGGTACAGCTAGGTGCCCAGGATGGTGGATATGGCCCTGTGGGGAGGCAGGTGGGCAGAAGAGTCAGAGACCTGTCCCTCCTTCCCCATTGAGCTCCCAGGCAGCCCTTTGGGGTCTGGGACTATTTGCCTTCTGCTCCTGCCCATTCAGAGGCCAGTTCGCCTCCATTCACATCTCACTTGGTGGTTCTTTGGAAAACTGAGTCCCTCCCTCTTGAATCAAAGTCCCACTCACATTTTCAACTGGTGTAGGGGTCCACTGTCCTCATCAGAGTAAGGGAGGATGCATCCATACCTAGAGTAGGACAGGAAGGCATCACATGGACAGTACTGGAGACACGCCCAGATGTGATGGCCAGTGTGACAGTGTGACCGCCGGGAGAACTGAAGCCCTGGAGGGAAGGACTGCTTTCTGCTCCATGTATTACATGACGGTTGTTCCTAGAAAAGTGCCTGCACCTTGTGGACCTTCCTGTATATTTCAAGAATGAATGAGCCCAACCAGTCCCATCTGAGTGACTGGGGCACTACTGATCACTCCCAGGGACCCCTGCCCTCACTCACCCAGGACAGGGCACCTCTCATAACTCACCTTGCAAATGGGAATCAGTTTGACCCAAGGTCAAAGGCCAGAGACAACTGAGACAGAGACTTCCTTGAGGGGAGGAGGAACATGATGAATAAGTACAATCACAGCCCCTCCAGCAGACTTTTCCATGGGGCCAGGTCCCCAGAAAGCACTTTCCAACTTTCCAGGAAGGACCCACTTAGTTCCCACATTCACCCTGAGAGCTGGTTCTCCCTTTGACGTTGTGTGCAGAGGGACCAACTGGGGTTTAGAAAGGTGGAGAGATATTACTTTGACTCCAGCTGGAATGGGGCCAACTCCCCAGTGTGTCATAGGTGGAGGGGAGTGCTCACCTGGTGAAGAAGGTCCAGCACCTTCTTTGTTGTTGTTGTTCAGTCACTTAGTCCGACTTTTTGGAACCCTGTTGGTGGCAGTACACTGGCTTTCCTGTGCTTCACTATCTCCTGGAGTTTGCTCAAACTCATGTTCATGGAGTCAGTGAAGCCATTCAACCATCTCGTCCTCTGTTGTCCCCTTCTCCTCTTGCCTTCAGTCTTTGCAGCATCAGAGTCTTTCCCATGGAGTTGGCTCTTTGCTTCCATTTTCCAATGAGTCAGCTCTTCCCACCAGGGGGCAAAAGTATTGGAGATTCAGCTTCAGCATCAGTCCTTCCAATGAATATTCATGACTGATTTCCTTTAGGATTGACTGGTTTGATCTCCTTGCAGTCCAAGGGACTCTCAAGAGCCTTCTCCAACACCACAGTTCAAAAGCATCAATTCTTTGGCATTCAGCCTTCTTTATGGTCCAACTCTCACATCCATCCATAACTAGTAGAAAAACCATAGCTTTGACTATATGGATCTTTGTTGGGAAAGTAATGTCTCAGCTTTTTATATGCTGTATAGGTTTGTCATAGCTTTTTCGCTTTTTATGCGCTGTATAGGTTTGTTATAGCTTTTTTCCCAAGGACCAAGGGTCTTTTAACTTCATGGCTGCAGTCACCATCTGCAGTGATTTTGGAGCCTGTCACTGTTTCCATTGTTTCCTCATTTATTTGCCTTGAAGTGATGGGACCAGATGCCGTGATCTTACTTTTTGAATGTTGAGTTTTAAGCCAGCTTTTTCACTCTCCTCTTTCCCCTTCATCAAGAGGCTCTCTAGTTCCTCTTGGCTTTCTGCCATGAGGGTGGTGTCACCTGCATATCTGAGGTTACTGATATTTGTCCCAGCAACCTTAATTCCAGCTTGTGCTTCATCCA